AGCTATCACGGATGGATCTATGCTACTAAAAAAACTTGAGCATTCAGAGGGACACAACTGTCCATTCTCAAATCCTCCTTTGCCAAATGGGTATCAGTGACATATCTTGATCCAAGGAATGACCTTAATAAATTTGCCACTTAACAAAATAAAAAACGTTCAAATGATCAATAGGATTTGCCATCCTGAACAGATGAGGACTGCTAATAAAATTGTGAAAGCCTTCTCTAAAACTGAACTAAAGATTAATTCATTGTCCCCAGAGAGCTGGTTTAGGCCATCATGCAGATGAAACCAGGAAGATTGTTTCCCAGTCCCTGTTTGTGTCACTCTTGGAATTTGCACATTTCCTCCCTAAGAAAAGGAACTCAACTCCAGCCAGCTGCAAACATGGTGCCAGTGGTTTCTCTGGAGCATCAGAGCAACTGCACAGAAATGTGGAACTCAAAGAAAAAGTGACATGGCCTAGCTTCCTAGGAATTGGTTTTCCATAAAAAAATATAATGTGAAATAAGTAATAATAGTAGTAGAAATAAAACAGAGTTAAGAAGGTAACAAGAGAGCTTATTTAAAAACAACTAGAAAAAAATTATACTCTTAAAAGATCTAATTATTTGGCTGATTTCCATAGGATGGGAAATCTTGCCAAATTAATTCAGAAACTAGATGTCAATTACAACACACCCAAAGTGCTGCTTCTGGGAACACTGTAGTTTAATTTTTAGCAGTGATTTTTATCACTGGCTACTGGGATCATTGTGAAAGGGTTGATTAAAATTTAAAAAGATGGACCAAAATCCATTGTTGTAATACAGTTGAGAGCCAGGAACTCAGGGATACTGAGTCCTTCCAAGAAGCTTGAACCGTGGAATACAGGAGCCAATGGCAAACTCCCACTAAAACTCACCAACTCTTTGGCATTGCTACAATGAAGCTTCTTAAGAGTAGTCAGAGAAACCCCACACTCAGCTCCTTTGGCATCAAATAAATCCGGCTTGAGAAGGAAATTTATAGAAGCAGACATAGAATTTTTTGAGGCCTGATTAATGTATCTATTTCAGTACATTTGGGTCATGAAATTATCATTGATCTAAATGTTCTGGAAAGTAAACACGACAATTCAAGTCTATTTTGCCTCAATAGCAGACTCACTTTGGGTTGCAATGCCCAGATCTAGTCCGTGCTTGTTTTTCAGATTTGAGTACAAGTCAGTTTTGTAAGCACAGTCCTAGGACAGATGCCATTCACATAGTGATTAGTGACTGCTGAGTTTCTGCTACCTAGAAGCGCTGATGCACTGGCTACCAAAATATCAAAATATCTTCTGGGAACAATTTAGTAATGCCTAAGATAGCAGAGACGAGTAGCCTATTGCTGTAGGTCACCTGTCCTGCATTTTTTATTATACTTTTGGGTGTTCTGTGGGGTTTTTTCCCCTTAAGAAGCAGAAGCTTAACCTTGTTTATTTTGTTATTAAAAAAATAATAATAATTTGCATTCCATGAGCCCAGACCAACAGATAGTAGTGGTGATTTGACATAATACCAGACATTACGCCAGACATTAGAAGAAAATAAGTCAACCAATGAATTTTATTTTTTATTTATTTATTTTTAAAGATTTTATTTATTTGTTCATGAGAGACAGAGAGAGTGGCAGAGACACAGGCAGAGGCAGAAGCAGGCTCCATGGAGGGAGCCTGATGTGAGACTCTATCCCAGGACTCTATCACATGCTGGGCTGAAGGCAGAAGCTTAACCACTGAGCCACCCAGGTGTCCCAACCAATGAATTTTAAATTTGATCTCCCCTCTCCCCGCCAAAATCACAAAACAATCTTCACATCAAAGTTGGTTTCTTTCACCAATTCTGATCCAGAGATGTTAAATCCTACACTGCAGTTTTTATTTTAATTTTTTTAATTAAAAAGTGGTAATAAGTCATCTACCAAAAAATCAGGAGATTCCAAACTAATTAATTAATTAATTTCAACAATCCTATAAATGTACAAAACTGGAGTTCTCGCACTTCCTGATTACATAACTTACTGCAAAGCAACAACAATGAAAATAGTGTGGCACTGACATGGAGACAGACACATAGACAACTGCAACTGAACAGAGAGCCCAGAAATAAACTTTCACATATGGTACAACGATTTTTGACAAGGGTTCCAAGACCATTCAATGGGGAAAGGGCAGTCAACAAATGACACTGGAAATAACTGGCTGTCCACATGCCAAAGAATGAAGTTGGACCATTACCTAACACCATATACAAAAATTAACTCAAAATGGACCAAAGACTTAAATGTAAGAACTGAAACTATAAATTCTTAGATGAAAACATAGGGCAGATGCTTCATGCTGGATTTGGCAGTGATTTCTTGGATATTACTCAAGAGGCATAGTCAACAAAGGAAAAGGTAGACAAATTGGACTTCATGAAAATTTATAAATTTTGTGCATCAAAAGATAAAAGAAAACCAATTAAAAAATGGGTGAAGGACTTGAATAGACATTTCTCCACAGGAGATATACAAATGGCCAATAAGCATATGAAAAGATGCTCAGCATCACTAGTCATGAGGGAAATGCAAATCAAAACTACAATGAGATACAATTTCACACCCATTAGGATGGCTATTATTATTTTTTAAAAAAACAGATAGTAATAAGTATTGGTGAGGATGTGGAGAAATTGGAACCCTTGTACATTGCTAATAGGAATATAAAACAGTGCAGCTGCTGCGGAAAACAGAATGATGATTTCTCAAAAAACTAAAATAGAATTACCATATGATCCAGCAATTCCACTTCAGAATATATATCCAAAAGAAGTGAAGCAGAGATTTTCACAGATTTCTGCATATCATGTTCATAACAGCTTTATGCATAATAGTCAAAAGGTAGAAGCAACCCAAGTGTCCACTAACAGAAATGTGATATGTACCTACAATGAAATATTATTCAGTCATAAAAGGAAGGAAATTCAGGGCCAGCAGGGTGGCATAGTCAGTTAGGCGTCCGACTTGGTTTTGGCTCAGGAACAATCTCAGAGTCATGAGATCGAACCTCATATCAGGCTCCATGTTGAGCATGGATTCTGCTTGAGTTTCTCTTTCTCCCTCTCCCTCTGCCCCTTCCACTCATGCACTCACACTCTCTCTCTCTCTCTCTCTCTCTCTCTCTCTTAAATAAATAAATAAATAAATAAATAAATAAATAAATAAATCTTTTTGAAAAGGAAGGAAATTTTGACATCAGCTACAACATGGGTAAACCTTGAAAATATTGTGCTAAATGAAATAAGCCAGTCACAAAGAACAAAAATATTATATGATTCTACTTCTATGAGAGTCAAATCCATAGAGACAGAAAGTAGAATGGTGGTGTTGCCAGGCACCACTGAGGAGGGGAGAATGGAGAGCTATTATTTAATGGATACAAAGTTTTAGTTTGGAAAGATAAAAAAAAAAGTTCTGAAAAGGGATGGTGATGACAACAATATGAATGTATCTAATGCCACAGAATTATCCAATTTAAAATAGCTAAACCTGTGAGTTTTATGTTATATATACTTTATCACGATAAAAAAAAAAACAGAAGCAGAGACCAGCAATAATAAATGGATGCATTGTCAAAAAAAATAGGAAGAATTTAAATGTCCAAAAATAGAGGAACAGGAATGATTAAATAAATTATGATAACCCACTCAGTGGGATATTTATGGAGCCAGTAACATTTATTGATGGTGACAACATTTAAAATGCCTATGTTATAGTGTTAAGTGGGAAGGAGGTAAAATTGTCACATATTATGATTGCAACTATAAATATATCTAGCTCAAGGATAAAACCCAAGAGGAAATATCAAAATGCTTTAAAAATTTGCATTAAAGTGACGAGATTATTGCTTTTTTTTTTGTTTATTTTCCAATTGTTTTTGAACGTAGATGTAATAATCTTTAATGGAAAATGTATGATCAAAACTGAAAAGGAACAAAGAAAAAGCTTTTCAACAATTATTATTAAACCTCCTTGTAGTTATTATTCATAAAATCCAGAAGGCTGGATATTTTTGAGGCTTTTGCAAAGTAATATAAATATCAAGGATATAAGTAATTAAGGTTCCTAGAAAACTCCTGTTCAACTCTAGCCTTAGAAACCACTTCGAGATTTGGGTCACTGAGCAGAGGACATGGAAAATGAACATCTTTAAAGAAAGAAACTCTTCAATGACTATCCTGTATTTGACACTGCAAAGACAACTTCCCCAGAGGCAGGAACTATGTGTTCAGAGAGATGCCTTTCTAGGTTAAAGCACACTTGCAGCATGGTAAATAGAGAGCCTTTAAAACTGCTCTCCCAAATGAGGCAGTGATTGCTTCGAAGTGGGTTATATTCAAAACTTAATTCTGCACCCATCTTTGGCTTCCTTGTTGTCATTAGTTCATTGTCTTTTAGCAAGTTTCACCTCTAACCCCATCCCACCACCCACTCAGAAAAAAAGAGTCATAATGAGAAGGAATTGGGTTCAGATGGGGACATTCGCTCTTTAGAAGAGACAGGCACAGGGTGGGTGACTGTTCACAGAGCAGATGCTGCAGCTGCACCTCGGGTTACTCAGCTCCTTTGTAGACTCTCCACAACCTCCCACTTAAAACAGCTTTCAGTAATAGTTTCCTGGAAGATGGGGAGCAAGAGGGACCTGAGGAAGATGTCCATCCAGGCACCACAGTAACCAGTTTCCCAGGCTTCCAGCATCTGTGCACCTTTCTGATAGGTCCTGTTGTCACAAGTCCCCGTAATAATAGCCTTTATACAATGTCTTCCAGAGCCATTGTCCACAGCAGACATTGCCACAAAATATTCTCATACATTTAGTTCCATCCATTGATGCTCTTGGATTATGGTTTGAAGAAGCTTTCCAAAGTCCCAGTTTGCTTCCTTTTTTTAACCCTGTGCCACTTTGGACTGTTCTGTTCTCTCATCAATCTTAGGTGGTGCGAGATCAGATCTCTCACTGCACAGTGAAGTTGCGCCAAACCACAGGTCTCATGGAGTACTGCCTGGAGGTCATTAAGGAAAATGATCCTAGTGGCTTTTTGCAGGTAAGTGTCAACTAGTTTCTCTTTCAGATTCTCAGTGGTCCATGAAACTCAGTCTACAATGCCAAGGCCAGACTCCCAACGGCCCCTGCTGAGAGCATGGGTCCCTCCACAATGGAACCCACCTTCAGAGTGCCATGAATATGTGGACACCAGCAAAACTCCAGTGACTTACTGAAAGTCTCTGCCACCATGTGCTACAAGATTGAGAAGTACATGGCCTTTTTAAAGTTTGTTTTTGTTCACATTTAATCATGAAAATGAAATTCCCTGTAAGTTCCTCCAAAGCAGAGTTACTGCCTTGCCTAAGAATTGGGTCCCTTTCCACTAATATCTTGGGCAGCTCTATCAGCTAGAAATGTCTACATATGCAAGGCTTCTACCTTCTTGACAGTTCCTACCAGCCAGTTCAGCTAATCAATGATTTCCCAAATAAAGTGAAGTTTTTTCATTCTTTGGACTTCTCATGATTTTTTCACTGTTGATAGTTTTAATTAGATGTGATGATGTCAGCTGAATTTTACTTAAGTTTTGATCTCAAAAATTAAGGGAGCTTTTATTAAGGAATACATAGATCCTTTCCAGTTCACGTTTTATCATACTGGCCAAGAGTGACAAAGGGAGATTAAATATAAGAAATGAAAGAGTTCTCTATCAAAGAATAAAATGATACAGAAGATGATGGGCTTAAAGTGTAAGAAATTCCAATTTACAGATTACCATATGCAGCCCCTCTAAACTATTTTATAAAACTCATTCCAAGCTTTAACAGAATACCCCCACCTCCTATTAGAAACTTGGGTTATTAGTTCTACTAAAATTAACTGATCACCAACATATTATTTAATGTTGTTGGCTTTTCATTGATTAATCATAAAAGGCATTAGCATATATCCAGGTTTGTCTATTAGAGCAATTTACAGCTGCTAATTATTTATAGTGGCTCCCTCTGACTCACAAAAGCATCCAGACTTGCATGGGTGACCGTTTTCATAGTAGGCTTCTCACTGCCTACATGGAGACGGGAAAGGTGTGGGTTTCAAATTGGTTTGGTAATGCTCCCAGAGAGTGGTGGGGCAGTGTTCTGTGTCCAGTGTGATGTTATATTTCTTAGGCTGTGATCTTTGATGTGATTAGATTTCTGACGCCCTCATAAGGAGAGTGCACCTGACTGAGGATCAGTGGGGGAAAGGCACGCTCACTCCCAGGATGACCACGGACTTTGACCTGAGTCTGGACAACAGCCCTCTGCTACAATCCATTCACCAGCTCGACTTTGTGCAGATGAAAGGTGCGTCCCTGCATCCCCCCAAATAGAGCAACATCCCAAGCAGATACTATGCTTAAAGCCGGATTGAGGCTTTGTGCCAGATTGCAGCAAACAAAAGGCAGCTGCCAGGTTATCAGTGACCTAAGAGGTGGGGAAGTAAACACACACACCTCTGGGTAATGATACAAAAATCTGGAGTAGCTCCTATCTTATCACCTAAGAGAAACATAGCATTGCATCCATGTGACCTGCCTCTAAGAAAGCCAGATAAATTCAGATAAACTCAATGCTTGCCTCTTTAAGAGTCTTAGGGATGTCACAAGCCCAGTGTCAGGGAATAGCTGACATTAAAAAAACAAATAAATAAGGAGATAAGACTGCATCACTGTGCATAAATAAAATCTTGTTACAGAAAGTAACCCAGAAACATTGATACATATATCGAGGCAGTTCAGGATCGAAATGACTACTTCCACATGGATAGTTCCTGAGCAAATGGTTGAGCATGAATTAGTGGGAATTTGAGAGGATCCGAGTTGGCTTTCCAATACTGGTCAGGAAAATGCCAAGCTTGGTTACAGGAAGAATATGAAGATTTGAAATCAATTTTAGCTTTTTAAATTTTTTGGCTTATGTGTTAAGGGATATGCAAGATCTCCTTGAGATTTTTTTGAGTGGCTGGGGCGGGGAGGAAGTCCAAGTACCTAAAATTATCTTAAGGAAAAGAACTCTTTCAAAGAAAACTAAAAAGCTGACTATGCAATATTTTAATGGCAGTATAAGTAATATCCACTGGAAAAATATTTTGACTTTTTTAACTTTCATTTTGAAATATTTATACATTCACAGGAAGTTGCAAAAATAGTAAGGAGAGGTCCAGTGTATCCTTAGCCCAGTTTTTATCAATGGTTCCATCTTACATAATTATCATCTTATATAAAAGCCAGGAAATTAGGGGCACCTGGGTGGCTTAGTCAGTTAAGCATCTGAATCTCGATCTCAACTCAGGTCTTGATCTCAGGGTTGTAAGTTCAAGCCCCACATTGAGCTCTACACCCAGAGTGGAACCCACTTAAAAAAAAAAAAAAACAGGAATTAACATTGGTACAGTGTATACGTATTACTCTGTGCCATTTTGTCATGTGTATAGAGTCATCTAATCAGCACTGCAATCGATGCAGAATCGTTGTACCACCCTCATGCTACCCCATTGTGGTCATATAGTCCTACCCATTCCTATCCCCTCCACCATCTCCAATCCTTGGCAACCACCTATCTACTCTTCATCTCTGTATTCTGTCATTTTCTAATCTTTTTTAAAACTGAAGAAATTGATTTGCTCTTTGCTTCTCCCAATAAGCAGCCACATAATAAAGGACTTAGAATTCAGTGCTTTAAAAAAAGTTTTTGTTCTTTTTCTTTAAGATTTTATTTATTTATTCATGAGAGAGAGAGAGAGAGGCAGAGACACAGACAGAGGGAGAAGCAGGCTCCATGCAGGGAGCCCAATGTTGGACTAGATCCCAGGACTCCAGGGTCACGCCCTGGGTCAAAGGCAGGTGCTAAACCGCTGAGCCACCCAGGGATCCCCTAAAAAGAAAGATATTTTAAGAAAAATCTACATGCTTCCTTTATTAGACCCCATTTTCTCATCTTTCATTTACTATGCATTGCTTTGGGATGACGCCTTAATTAAATTTTGGAGTAAATAGTATATAGATTGTAAATAAAAGTACATTGTTGCAGTAACAAAAATGTTTAGCATTTACTGACTACTTACCAAACCAGATACTCTCTCCTAAATGCCTCATGTGGATTAATTCAATTTATTCTCACAACCCTAGTAGGCATCTGAGGAAACTGAGGCACTGGAAGACTGTACGACTTGCCTAAAATCACACAGTTGGTGAATGTCAGGGCAGGGATTCAGACCCAAGGAGTAAGTTTCCAGAACCTGCACCTACAACTTCCAGTTTGTGCTATAACATTAGTGTCTTATGAATTGGCTTCTTCAAGGAATAACTGAATTCCTCTCTTAAACTTAAGAAATTTGATTTTTTGTTGTAGAATGTCTTTCGTGCTGTTTAAAATTTTTCCTTTAACACCCATATGGTGGTCCGTGAAATACAGCCACCTGAGTAATATATGGAGCCCCAGGAAAATCCCCCTCCATCAGCCTCTGTCTGTATCCAGTTCTTTCCATGAAGTAAAATCATTGAAAGATTATGTCACAAATAGCTCAGAGGAGAAAATATGTCACGAAAGAGCAATGGAAGGGCTTTTGGAGGAAGAGGGGAAAAAAATTAGCCAACCCAATTAGCCTTGATGCTGGAGCAGGTAGAGGGTAAAAGCCTCTGGGCTTTGAACTGCTTTCACCATCTGATAGAGGCCTCTCCTCCCCCATTTGCTGTCCTTCTGAATAATGTCCATCTGCCCAAAGTGGAGTCCAGGCGAATTGGCAGGATGGTAACAATTGTGTTGGAATAAACAGGCCCTTCATCTGGTATGGGAACTGCAGACTCATGTGCTATGCCTCACAGACCACATTCCTAAAGCAGTGTCACTTGTCCGTTTAAGGCTACCTGCAGAAATAGGCGTGAACATGGCTGTGTATACCCTCTATCAAAGTCTGCACACATGGCAAAGAGTGCCAAACACTCCAAAGACCAAAACCCAGAACACACAGCAAATATTCACCTGGAACACAAAATTATCCAAAGCAGTTATTTATGAAGTTCATGTAACAGGCCATTTGGTATGAGACTGGATTATTCCATTTTCCATTTCTTTTTAACACTTCATATTAATTTAATTTACTTCTGATTAGTATCCTTCTGCAGAGTTAATTTATATGCTTCGCTTTATGCTCATTAAGTTTAATTAATTCAGTGAGAGCCAAGTCCTTTTTAGACTGTGAATAATTTTTATCTGTCAGATGTTTTCGATGGAAAGAAAAAACCAAAAGGTCATTGAGTAATAGAACTTGATTGGCTGGTGTTAAGGCTACTCCTACTGGCCTCTCTGATATCTGTTAACATACCCAACTGTGCTTGGTATAGTGTTAGACAGTGCTTTTCTTTAGGATATGCTTGGTCAGTTTAATAAACTGCACTTTCACAGCTTTCAGTAAAAACATCTCAAGAAACTGTACCACAAAATACACGTACAAATGGCCAAAATGTAAATAGCATTGGGAATAGTGCTAAAGTAATCTGACCATTAATACAATGCATATACTTCAACATACGTTTTCTAATTATGCTAAGCAGATTACAGTAGAAAGTTAAAATATTTTCCAAGCTACTTAAAATATGTGTTTAATTCTGACTCTAACAACAGAAATATCTATTTCTTGACTAAAAATGTTAACATCTCTCTGGTTTTGAAATTTCATCTCAGATGCCTTTTTCTCTTTGATATCAAAGAACACAGGTCTGTTGCTGGTTTTTAAATGTTTCCAGTTAAGCCAGCAACTACTCAGCAAGAAAATTATTCTCTTATTAGTTAAGGACTTAACTGGTCTCTTTCTGATTCTACATCACCCTCAAGCAACTGAGATCTAACTGAGAATGCCGGTACCTTCTTTGTTCAAACATCCCCAAAAGGGTATTATCCCATAATTGTTTTAAGTATAGAAAGTGTCCCAAGATTCATGAGTCAGTGCTGAAAAGAAATGCCTGCATGTTCATTCTGAACCAGGATGAAACAGTGACCTAATGCTCCCCCAAGCCTTTTTAGCATATAGACCAATGGCTGTTAATCCCTTAAGTGCCTCTGGTCACCTAAGAACACGTTTATCTTTATTAACTCATGTCAAATGTAAGAGCCCTGAGTATGCACCAAGGTCATAAGCAAGGTTGGTGTGATGTGAATAGACCATCTTATAAATCATGGAGAAAGAGCACCCAGAGATTTGATGGGGATGGGGATGTGCACACATGCCTGTCTGTAATCTGTTCATGCTTGTGATCCGTTCATGGTTTGGAGGCCTGAAATACGTGTCATCACGTATTTCACATTTGCTCTTTAATAGTGTGATAATGAGAGCTTTGCAGAAACGGCTTGTTGTTCCTCTAAAGTCTAAACTTCCCTGAGATGCCAATTGTATTGGTCAGCCACCATACAAAGGAATGATGGTCCACCAAGGGACAGTGAAACAAGATGACTCAGTAGAATTGCATTCCCAACCACCCTAGCTCTTATGGTGAAATGTTTCTTTCTTTTCTTTTCTTTTTGAAATTTTTTAAGTATGGTTGATACTCAACGTTACATTCGTTTCAGGTGTACAACATAGCAATACAATAAATCGATACATTATGCTATGTATGGTGAAATATTTCATTAATCCATAGCAGCAAGTCTTGGGGTAAAGTTCCCCATGATACAGGAAGCAAAAGAAAACATTCCTCTTGGAATTGGATGCAGGAACTTCTCTCTAGTACACTATTACCGCACACTAGATTGGAGAGGCAGTGTAGTGCAGTTGAAGCACCCAGGCCCTGGAGCCAGCCTGCTTGTCCTCAGATCCCACCTCTGCCAACTAGTAGCCATGAAGATGTTCTGTGTTTCAGTTTCCTCATCAACCAATTAGAAATAATAACAGCATCCGTTATTGTGGGGGTGCTGTGAAAACCACATGAGTGACTGCATCCTCTCACCACACTGCCAGGTATTTGGTAAGTGCTCAGAAAACATCAGCAGCCATTAGTTTCCACGTCCAGAGTGGGTGGCCATGTGTCCTTCCATGTCCTTGTCACACTCTTGTCCTATGACCTTTCACAGAGGAATCCTGCATCATTGTGAGTGTTGACAATCGGAAGGACTTGAAAAAAATTAAATGAATATGAAAGATGTAAGTTATAATTTGAACTAGAATGGTAAGACATTTGAAAACTTTAAGGAGACACCATTGCAGAATTTAATTTTGAGCCAAGGCTCTACAAAGTCACCTTCAAGGAAGTCTGTAAGAACAGTTACCCCTTATAACTAAGAAGAGAATTTTTAGCCTGAAGCTTGATTTTTATGAGCTAAAAGAATGCTGAGCAATAGACTTCTGATAAGGTCAGGAACCACTAGTTCTTTAGGAAAAACAAAAACATCCAAGAGTGGTCAAAGTGTTAAGATTAAGACAGCTATGGAAGCCGAATGACAGAATTTTCAATGAAATAAAAATTTCTTAGAGTCCAGCCCAGGAACTGTGATGCAATCCATTTCCAAAACACAAATAATAAGTTAATTTGAAAATACTCTGGATTCTTATAGACCATTTATTTTATATCTAATAAAGTGAAATAGGGTAATAACACCCACTATAAAATCTGCTTTTCTAAAATGTCAGCTTTAGTCTTTGCTAATGAGGCTGTAATTTTGTCACACTTGCCTTTTATATGCAACATCACTTTGGGGTAAATAAGGAAACAGAAAAAAATAATTCTAAGCACATTGAGAAATAGATTTAGACATGCAAATGTCTCTATGTTCCTTCATTTTTGTTTCTCTCTCTTATTCTCTCTCCCTCCTCTCATTTTGCTTGTTTGCTTAATTTGTTTAAATTCTGGACAGTACTAAAATCTGAAGGTCAGTAAGTGGTTAGACTTTTTATTATCTTTTTGGTCTTTTAAAGTGTATCCACGGGGATCCCTGGGTAGCTCAGTGGTTTCGCACCTGCCTTTGGCCCAGGGCACGATCCTGGAGTCCAGGGATCGAGTTCCGAGTTGGGTTCCTGGCATGGAGCCTGCTTCTCCCTCTGCCTGTGTGTCTGCCTCTCTCTCTCTCTCTCTCTCTCTCTCTCTCTCTCTCTCTCTCTCTTTCTCTATGTCTATCATAAATAAATAAAAATAAATCTTTAAAAAAATAAAGTGTATCCACTGAGGACTTACAAATGAAGTTCCCATGTTTTAATTACACATGACACCATGTATTTCAATTAATCTGTTAATTATACCTAATGTCTCTACAAGGAAACTTGAGTTTCTTATCAGAGACATTGCAAGCATTTGCATGATTCAAGCTGAAACCATCTTGTGATCTTATTCTTTGATTTTAAAATTGATGAAATGTAGATTTCCTTGAAACATAAAGGGAAATGAAGGGAAATAAAGGGAAAATGAAGATTGATGGGCAGCTAATAAAATAAAGAGAATCCAAGGAATAGGTTGTTTTATTGTAGGCTCTGATTCATAAGGACAGCTAAGAGCAAATATCCCCAGGGAGAATCATTCCATCTCTAGAAGCCCTTTGAAGAACGGTTTGCTTAAATTTATCATAATTTACTCCCTGGTTAATATATTAAAGTTTATTATTTTTATTAGGGAAAAAATGTTGATGACAAAGTAGTTTCCTAATACATGATGACCTAAAGTTCACCCTCCAATTATGACTCTCAGGTGATATCTTGTTTATGAGTAGATGATCATTAGGAGTTATGTCTTCTCTCTCCTCCCCTTCCCATCCAGTCCTATAGTCTATTCCTTGAACAAAGTAATGAATTATCTGCTTTCCTCTGATTCCAGATGTTCGGGAACCTCTGAGGCTTTAGAAGCCACTCTTATAAGACCTACAGAACTCTATGCCATTGAAACCTGAAACACGATTTCCCTTACTAAACTCACCACCTCCAATTAACTGGTCATACTTTTGATTTCATTATGTTTGATGTAGTAACTCAGGCTTGGTTTTCTTGTCTTTTCATAAGTATAATCAACCTGCCTCACCTTCACATCTCTTGTGTTATGGTCACTGCTTTTGTTTTCTAGGCTATCCACCATAGAACCTGTTTCTTAAACTGCTATTAAATAAACCATTTTTGGCTGAGGTGATGGCAGGGAGCAGATAATTTGATGCATGACACAGAGTCCAATTTTGGTACAGCATACCAGGTGTTCTATAATTAACATTTGTTCATTTAAATGTCCCTGGATGTGGTCCAAACTGTTCTCTCTATTGTTAAAGTGCTACAGAAATAAATTAATGTTTTGGTGCTAAAAAAATTGTTAAGCAGTTGGTAAAAACATTGCTCCTAAATACATACATTGAGTTCATATATTAGGAACTGGGATTGTTGTTATCCAACACTTCCATATCTGTGTGTCTAAAGGTTCAACCACTCTACAGTTTGAAGTAATAGAAAAGACTCTCCGCACAAAATAGGGACAGGGCATGTTGTGACTAGTAATACTGTGACAGATTCTCACAGAGTGGTAAGGACATTTTGACCCTCCCCTGCTGGGCCCCTTCTGCTCCCATACTACTCTCCAGGCTCACAGTTGGCTGTTCTACACCTGCAGAAAGTGGACTTGAGCTAGTGTAGCTACCTTCAAAGAATGAGGTCAAGTTCTTAGAAGTTTTGATATGGAGAAATCACTGTTTTTATGTCACTTAGTACTAACTTTTCAAAAATTCACTGTTACAGCTACTTATACGCACAAGACCTTGAGTAGAATCGCTAGTAAAACCAACAAATAGACAAACAAAAACCTGTTCAGAATAGGCAGTTCCAAGTTTATACACTGGAGGTCAAGGCTCTGAATAAATTTAATGATAAGTTTTTCAGCCATGCTATGGGTTAAATAGGCTTTAGTGGGCTGAGCTGGAAACCCATCCCCCATAAAATACCTTCCCCTTAGGGATAATGTCTTCAGTGCCCAGGGGGGTGAGAAACAGAGCAATTATCTCCCTGGCAGTTAAGGTAGGAAGTATCCTCATGAGTTTGGCAGAAGGCAGCACAGTGGCTCCGGAACCAGTCCCATTCCTAGAGACTCTGGAAGGGATCCAGGTCAGGTCCCCCATGGACTAGCTACTTGGTTGATGAGGGGGATGTTTCTCATTCCAAGATACTGAAATTTTTGCAACTCAACAGAAGCCAGAGTTACACTAATTTCTGTTTAGCTTCCTCTCCAGTCCCAGCAACCCCCATTCTGCAGCTGGAGGAGTGTTGTACCCACAACAACAGTGCCACGCTGTCCTGGAAACAGCCACCTCTGTCCACGGTGCCTGCCGAAGGCTACATTCTGGAGCTGGATGATGGCAATGGTGGTCAGTTTCGGGTGAGTAGAGAATCTGTTATTTGTTAACCAAAGCCAGTGACCACCTCAGAGGACCCATTGTGGGGTCTCAAGCCAAGCTTCCCCACCTCCCCCGAGGCCAGACCATCCTGGCAGAGTCTGCCACTCCTTCATCTGAGGCCTACATTCTTCTCGAACCATCTAAGATGGAGGAAAGAGTCTCTGAATAGAAACTACTCTACCCTCCTTAAGAGAAAGCACATGCCGTACAAGCTCTGGAGTCCAGCTGCTTGCACTCAGGTCCCAATTCCACCATCTAGCGGTGTGACTGTGCCCATTTCTCACTTCTTTGAGCCTTCAGGACTTCGTCTGTAATATGAACCTGTACCTCACACATGGTTTTTAAGAGTCAGTTAGATAATCCGTATAAAATTCTTAGCATGCCAGGATCCCAGACCCCCATCTTGTTAGTGTCCCACCAGAGAGTTATCATTTTAAGGCTGTGCTTTGAATACAAAATATTTTTACTCATTACATCAGCATAATGTTGCAAAAGCATACAGCTAAAGAGGGAGGCACATGCCTAACCTATGCTAAAGATGCATCATGCTGCAATTTATTTTAAGCCTTTGAAATGTCATTCTTCCTCCCGCTCATTTCCTCCCCCCTTCCCTCTGCACTGTGATAAAACCTATACGCCTATGACTTTGAGTGTAATTTTTGTCACAGTTCCTGAAGTTACCAGTGGAGTTATAAACACAGCATAGAGACCACCCTCATGTTTTCCAAACAAGTTTTTACAAATTACACTGATGGGTAAAGAGTTAGGTAGGTATAATATATGTATAGATGCCAAGGTAATAGTAATAAGCATAATGCTAACTCTAAGCACTCAATTTTAGTGTTTTAAGCCCTAACCACTAGTAAATACCATGCATTAAGCTGACAGGCCCATGCTAAACATAAGGCACTATGTTAGTTTGTGCACAGAACCTCCTTCTATGATCATCATAGCAACCTCATAAACTGGGTATCATCTGTCCCCATTTTACAGATGAGGAAACTGAGACTTTAAAAGTCCAATTAGGGGTTCCTGGGTGGCTCAGTCGGTTGAGCATCCAACTCTTCGTTTCTGCTCAGATCATGAGTTCAGGGTCATGAGATCAAGCCCCACATTGGGCTCCGTACTTAGTGGGGAGTCTACTTGAGATTCTCCATCTCTCCCTCTCCCTCCTCTCCTCCCTTCCCCATTCTCTCTCTCTCAAATAATAAATAAATAAATCTTTTAAAAAAAATGAAAAGGTCAATTACGTGGTTTGCTATCCCACAGGATTTGAATCCAGATCAGGCTGACACCAAAATGCTAGCTCCTTAACCACAGAGTGACGCTGCCTCCCTAAGCCCTCCTGAGGGCTGGCATTAAACAGCAGCCTATTATTTGTTGACCCTCAGGAAGTGTATGTCGGAAAGGAGACGATGTGCACCGTGGACGGTCTTCACTTCAACAGCACGTACAATGCCCGCATCAAGGCCTTCAATAAAACAGGAGTCAGCCAGTACAGCAAGACCCTGGTCCTCCAAACGTCTGAGGGTAAGGCCCTTCAGCAGTATCCCTCAGAGCGAGAACTGCGAGGCATCTAACGTGGCTGCCAAGCCCGGAGGTAACCCCACCACTGCCCACAATTCTGAAGTGTTTCCATGACTTGCTCTGCATTCTGGCACAAAGCCGCTGTTCCTCTCCTGCCGTGCGTTAGAGAGCCCATGGTATGTGGATGTGATCAAACCAAAGAGTCCACAGCGGCAGTTCAAATGGCCTGGGGCGTCGGCTTCCTTTGATAACACTCTAAATAAGCTGCAGTTGAAGACGCTGAAAAAATGAAGGCCTGAATGTCCCCCACCCCCAGTGTGTGAAACAAATGTATTCTAGGCTCTAGGGCAGGCTCCCATTCTCCACGATACACATCATTTGCCAGTTTTACCCAGAGGATTCTAAATTGCTTTGTAGCACTTGCCTGTTTGTGAGGGTGGGGCCAAGGTTCTTTCCAGCTGTGGATTTGTGTTACTGCACGTGTTTCCGAGGGGTGTGGGGTGATAGAGCTGTTTGGAGAGGGCCTGTCGGCCACTCCTGGCTTACCCAGCGCGGACCGCTTCCATCTCACTCCCAAAGCTGAGGCCGGCGGCACCAGGACTGAGGCTTCCTGTGGGCACCAAACAGGAAATGACCAGCAACTCCGCATTACCTCGCCATTTTCACCTTTGCCCATCCTGTTAGGCTGGGTTAGGCCATTAAGGGCCATCGTACAAGGTCAAGCCCCAGAGAACTTTTGCTTCTTGGCCGTACTGTAAATATTTCGGTCATCAAAGTCAACCCATTCCTCTTGAAAGAGGAGCTTGCATTTGATGACCAGGTATCACCTCTGAGGCTTTTAACACTTTCATTTTAAAAGCAATCACAGCACATGAAATTAAACCTTTATGAAGAGGTATTTGTGGTCAGTGCCAAAGCATTTTCAGACCTTCTGGGTGTCATTTTAATCATAGAAGTCACCCCCCCGGCATTCCCCATACCTTCCCTCTGCAGAACTAATTGTGTTGATTTTGTTCAAGATGTTAGGTCAAAGAACTGTGGTGGTGGTTTTTTCCCACTTCCCACAAACCTTGGCTGGTGCCAATCACCCTTAAAATGGTTCACATGGTTAAAAACAAGCACAACTTCAAATCCCACAGCAAGGTTGACGGGCCCCTAGCCATAAAAACCGTGCTTGGGGAGCAGTTGTAAGTCTGTGAGGGATGCTATTTAAAGCAAAGGATTAGCTGAAGGCAAAATGCCCACACGACCTATTCCCATTGGGTTAGAGGGATGTGGTAGCGACAGCTTCCCGAATGATCATTTTAGTAACGTCTCTCTGGGATGACCTGTCTCCTTGAGAGCTGTTGCCTATTTTCCCAAGTACCCTGCCTAAATGCTAAAGCCCTCCAAGAGTTGCCTACATGCAATGCAGAAGGCCCTTCATGATGATGGCCTCATTTCCCATGGGCGTAAAAGGCGGTTTGATTGACGAGTGAAGTGCATGCCATCAGAGCAGGGAGACAGTTTGCAGCAATGTTGCTAATATGTATCATGAGACCTACAATTTCTATTCATAATACATCATGGAAATCATATTCTTCCGCTAAAATCAGTTACTAGCATAGCAGCTTGAGCATTCATGTTTCTCTTTTCATCCTGCAGGAGGATGTAGTTTCTCAGTTTCTCTTATTGTTCATAAGATTATGGTGTCTAATAAATTACAGGATTGGAACTGCGATCCCTGGTACCACAGTCACAGAACTGGGGGTCATTTTCTAAAAGAAACTAACGGAACAAGTCCTCTTCCAACAAAGAAACTGTACTGTAGAAATTAATTTCCTCCATGAATTTTATATATTGTGTACAAATATAAGGTATGTATCTAAATACAAAGAAAACCTTATCATCGTGTAGATATATCAGTATTCTCTGTTACTGCACAGAAGTGATTTTCTCATGATGAAATAAAGTTCACACACATACTTTCTCCATAACTTTGGTTTGTTCTATTTGTTTCTCCCTCATTCTAACTCATTCACATGGTGAGACAAGGTTTAGAAAGCAAGAAAAAATATATAATGAATAGCTAATTTAAAAATGTTGATCAACCTTGTAAAAATATAGAAAGCCTATAGAATTAAAAAATTATATATATATATTTTTTTGTTTTTTAGAAATCAGTGAGAAAAATGCCATTGACAGGGTTCAATAAATTAACTGAACTTATTATACTCTATTAATCTTTCTTTCTACAGTTCCTGGAAAGGTTTGCTTTGGAAGTTTTTTTTTGTTTGCTGTTCTTGGGGATGATGTGGTGGTTCATTTCAGCTTTCTACTGTAACAAGAGCTTTAGCAGTCTTCTTAGCAACAGCTGACCCTTTTCCAAAGTTCAAAACAAAAGTCTGTATTACAGAAGGATCTGATTCATATGTGATAGCAACTCTAGCTTGTGTTTACATGCATTTAGTCCAAAGTCTAAACCACTTGTCACTTATACTCTTTGAACTATCATAAAACCATCTGCTGACTTACAGGTAACATTATGCAGGGGAGATCAGATGTCCACATTGTTATAAATGCTGATCATTTTTTCCAGAAGCAGTTCTGTTTGTTTTATTTATTGGGTAGTACTTGGTAAAGGCTCACTGTGTGCTACACTGTGGTGTAGAGGGCTGAGCGGATGTCACCCCTGCTTTTATGAGCTTACAGTCTACGAGGAGAGATAGGCCTTGAAACACCAGACACACAACCAGTTACATACTTACAAGTAATTATAACCACTGGGAAGGAAGACTAGCAGGAAGACATCATTTATATCCAGGGATCAGTCAAGAAAACAATGAAAAATAATTTAATTCAATGGAAATTATAAAGAATGTGTTATTCAAAGAGAAAAGGAAAGAAAAAAACGCATTACTAGATGCGTTTAAGTGTGATTAGTTTCTGAAGGCAGAGTTCTTGGTAATGTACCTAAGAGAGCCATGCAAATAAAGCCAGTCGCAGCTCTAAGCCAAATTACCTTGACTTAAGAAGAAATATAACTGTAAGCAATTAAGAACCTTAATGAAATTTTAAAATGTGGCACACATCCCTCATTGTATATATTTTTAAAGTAATTCATTTAATAGCCCTCATGGCTGTGTCACAGTCTTTGAAACTATCTGCAAAAGAATATCCATTATGTAACAAGGCCTTCTTCCTATGTAGTTCTGGGGCTTATTCTGTCTGGGAGACTCTACTCCTGAAAGACAATTTTTTTTTTTTTTTTGTAATACAAGGCTGAGAACAGAATAGGATATTTTCCTATTTACTTTAACCTATTTTCCCTCTACCTATCTAAACAGACTTACCTTTTTCTTGTTCTTGAATCTGGAGAGAAAATGAAATAGACCAAAGGTAACATTCCTGGGGCTCAAATAACTCACTAAGACTCTCAGCTGGCTGAAAAGAGGATCTCTCACTGACCCCCCTCTTGGGGGGAAAAAATTACCAAGGAATGCTTCAACAGTCTTAGCAGAGGTGAGAGTCCTTTGGGGGAATAAGAACATGAAGGGTGGCACCTTTTATTCAATCAATACTCTCCAACACAAATCTTTATTAGCTTCCTTGGACAAATTCTTGAGTTGGAATTACTGGACCAAGGAGTATAAACACTTTTAAAGTCCTTTTCTTTTTATTTTTTTTAAAGATTTTATTTATTTATTCATGATAGTCACACACACACACGAGAGAGAGAGAGAGAGAGGCAGAGACACAGGCAGAGGGAGAAGCAGGCTCCATGCAGGGAGCTCGACGTGGGATTCGATCCCGGGTATCCAGGATTGCGCCCTGGGCCAAAGGCAGGCGCCAAACCGCTGCGCCACCCAGGGATCCCCCACTTTTAAAGTCCTTGATCTGTGTTTCTCAATTGCTTTCCAGCTAGATTTTATACCAGAAATGTATGAACCATCCCATTTTTTTTTAAAAATCACTTTAATTCTGCTATTTAGAATTTAATTTTGACTAACAAGCAACAGGGCCTTTTACATTTTTATTTTCATAGAAATCATATTCTGATGGTTTTACATCTAATAGTTACATGAAATAAGTTACAACATATTGCAGGGAAAATGAATATGATCCAAAAAAGGAGGGAAGACAGAGAACCAGATGGACAGACAGAAATCCAAACAGGATTAACTGTAAGCAAGGCAAAAACTTCAAAATTGGCCTTGAGCTGACTATGATAAAGAAAACTCACTCATTTAAAAACATTAATGGAGCACCTAAGTTTTGTCAGGCACTGTGCTGGGTCCAGGATCACAAAGATGCATGAGGTGTGTCCCCTGCCCTAGAGCATAGACTCCATTCCTCCTTCCTACACTCCATGACTCCTGACTCAGAGTGCCTAAAATTTATGGTACCTCACCTCTCTAGAGCTAAGATATTCACCTGCAATCTAGATAGTTATCTTACAATCAAGAAGTGACAATGACCTCTGATTGGGGTAAAAAGGACAAAGCTCAGGTATAGACATTTCTGTGCTGTCCTTACAGCGGGGTCCTTGGTCTCACTCAGTTCTTGCTCACTCTTACTTTATACATGAGTCCACTGAGCTCATGACCCACTTGGGAAGACTGCAGCAGATGAGGAGCATCACATTACAAGAGAGGAAAGGGATTGGTGAGTAGGGAAGGTAACTGGAAAAATTGAGAACAGACACCCCCACAAAAAAAGTCAAAAGAGAGGATTCTGTGGTTTATGTTCTGGTTAAGAAAGTTAGAAAGTGTAAAATGAATTGCAAAAATATTTTCGTCTAACATTTAAAAGTCAGTATTTATCTGAAATCCTTGGTGACAGATATTAGGTATATATCAGAAGGCTTATTGAATCACAATACAAAATACCATGAGAAAACTATTGCAATAAACCCTATTTCATTTTGTGTCAGGGAACTTCTAGAAACTTTTCTCATTGTCCATTAAAAGATTCCATGAAAAATGACAGCCAACAATTTTTTTTTTAAGAATACCGAAATCCAG